CAATTTTAGGGCCGGCCCGTGGCTCACTCAGGAGAGTGCGGTGCTGATAACACCAAGGCCCCAGGTTCGGATCCCGTATAGGGATGGCCGGTTGGCTCGCTGGCTGAGCGTGGTGCTGACAACACCAAGTCAAGGGTTAAGATCCCCTTACCGGTCATCTTTTTAAAAAAAAAAAAATCAATTTTAAAGAAGGCCTGAGAATTTGGTTTTAATAAGAAGAGAGCATTGGGCCATAGGAAGAAGCCAAATTCTTTGGCCCAGTGTTCAAACCCATCCACAAGCTTCCTCAGCCTGCCCCTCACCAGGCCTTTTGTGGCTCCCTGATATAGATCCTGCACCCCAACCCCAGCAGCTGAGGTCTCCCACCTCCGTGCCATTGCTCAGCTTTTCCTGGAATGCACTCTCCTCTTTTTCTGTAACCTCCCTGCTCTCTAAACCGTAGCCACCTGATGAAGTGTTACCCATTCCTAAAGGCACAGTCTAAATGCAAATGCCTCAAAAAAGCTTCCTTAGATCCCCTCCTCCTACCACCCTGACTTGGATTAATCTCCCTCAGCCCTACATTTCCAAAGCACCATGTCTTCTTTATTATAGCACACCTTCCTGACTGCCTTAGATTAAAATGTCATAGGGGTCTGGCCTTCCCATCAGATTGTAAGCTCCTTCTGGCCTGGGACCCTGCGCCATTAATCTCTGTAACCCCACAGTTTACACAAGGCACATAGTAACACTGAGAAATGTGTGTTGCATTCAATTAACTGAGCATTTTAAAGCAAATGTTGCTTTTTATTTACCTTCACCAACACTTCTCTGGGTGTGCCTCACAGGTGCATAGATGCTAGTAGACTTGCAGATGAACGGTCCTAGGAAGTTCATCCGCAAATTGAACTAGCTTTTTAAGATTGTAACTGGATACGAGTATGAGAGGAGGGCCCTGTGTGTAGCCTTATGTGTGAATGAATGGTCATGTGGCCGATTGTGTGATGTGAAGTCACTGTAGTACTCTATGGTGTCTGTGCTAGGATAAAGCCATACTCCCATGAGTAGGGGGTGAGTTCTCACCAGAAATGTGACATAATTTCTGGTGCTAATTACCTAGGGAAGAGGTAGAGCTCTCAGACCTAAAATCAGAAAGGGAAGGATGTAAAGCAGAATTGGAATTGACTCCCCTGGTCTTCACCACTACTAAAGATGGCAAAATGTCTAAGTGCAGCTCCTGAACAAGAAGTGGTTGGATGGTGGGGACAGGTTAGGGACTTGGAAGACAAGGGATCTGAGATCTGGGTGAGCCCTTGGTGGCCAGAGAGAGCTAATTTCAATGGTGGGTAAAATGGGATAGACACTGAGTCCAGGGGCGGAACAGGTCGGTTAAGATGATCAGAAATCTGTGTCGTGGGAAGGAGAGTGGGTGGTGCCATCTCAGGTTCTGTCCCTGGGAATTTTGGACAATCTCAGCAGGTTGCAGGGGGGAACCCAGGAAAGGGTCTGTGTCACCAAATGACAGCCTTAATTAAAGGTCACAGTGATGGTGGCATTGGAATCAGGGGACACTCAAAGGGGAGGTGAGATTGGGGAGGGGTCCATGGTTCAGTTACTTCTTTTCACCAGGAAAGTCTTCTAAAACCAAGTCATGGAGGCTCTGGGTTTGCTTCATCTTTTGCTCAACATTTACACTGAGCACCTGCTTAGAGTCAGGTCCCTGCTGGGCTCCAGGAACTCTGAGATGAATTAACCAGACCCCGCCCATGGGGGACAATCAATCACAACTGGTAAACCAGGGCCAACTGTCCACAGGGAGCTATTGTGGAAGTGGAACATGAAACACTTTACGTCTCAAATCCAGTGTAGTTCTCTGAGTTAAACATTTCTTTTTCAAGATCGTCATTTAATATCTGTATCAGTCTGTTTTTGTGTTGCTGTAACAGAATACCTGAAACTGGTGCTGCCTCCTGTGTGGGGCTCCACAACTCCTGTGCCCCTCTCACAAATACACCTAGAATAGCTGTCTGTAAATGCCTGTCTCCACCAGGCTGTGAACTACCTAGGGGTGGACAGCAGTGCCCATCACACGACCTGAAGGAATAAAGTGAGGAACATCACTTAGATCTTGGAGGGTCTTGCTGGTTCTTTGCTTGTTGATTCTGTGGGCAGAAGGCCACCAGGACAGAAGGAGTGAGGCCATGAGCATTTAGAAACAAGTCCAGAAGCTGTCCTGGCAGTTCAGATAGCATGGGGTTGAGTGATTATGGTTATGTTTGTGACACTGAAGGTCAGGAATAGAAATGCATTTAAAGCCATTAGGGTAGATGCCTCGGGGCACTGCCATGTTTGCAACTAGGCACAGTAATGCCTGAAGTCAAATGTGAATTTGAATCAGATCCAACTAATGTTTGTCGAGGATCTGCTACATACTAGTATTGTGCTAGGTGCTTTCACATCGCTTTTAGCTGGAGAGAATGTATAATTTACCATCCAAACAGGGATACTTTTAAGAATGAAAGGGACAGTATTAAAAAAATACTCTAGGACAATAGGTATAAACTGCCCCAGGAAAGCTAAGACTTATGACCATTTTCCTCATGTCACACTTTGTGCTTTTGTCTTTTCTTTTTTTTGGAACTCTCGACACATTTTATAAATCTACATTTCTCAGTATTTACTTATTTAATGTCTTTTTCCCCACCATATTGCAAGGATTAGGGTTTGTTCACTATTAGAATTGCAGTGCCTGGTATATAGAAACCTGGTTTATAAATGTGGAAAGAAGGAAGGAAAGAATGAAGGGAAAGACTGGGTAAGTAGAAAAGGAGCAGAGAAGAGAGAAAGAGACCAAGGGAGATGGGATCCTACTCCAGGTCAGTTTGACTCCTATCTTAATGCATTATGTCCTTGCTTAAGGCATAAAGGAGTGGACTTTCAGGAGGAAAATGGCTTGCACAACTAACTCAGCATCCAAGGTGTGTTTAAGATTCAACCAGCTGATGATCAGTCTATTCATGCACAAATCATTTCCTAACATCTCTGTAACTCAGTCTTACCTGATTTGTGTTTTGCAACATGGACAAGTGCCCAGTCGTTTGTGAGCAAATCAAACTTCTAGTTGATGGTGGCAATGGCAGGCTGAGGTGTCTTCCTCCTTAGCAACCCTAACCCCTTTGCCTTGGGCCCCTCCCCCATCCCCCCTCCAAGTTCTCTCTTTGGGGATTCATCTAGAATGCCACTCTTGGCCCAGTGTCTGTTCTTTTACCATGCCTCATCGTTCTCTCTGTGAATAACTGTGCTGTATCTATAAACCATATTACATTTGGCATAATAAGATTTGCCATGTTCAGTCCAATTCAATTCAACAAACGGGTATTGAATATCTATTAACAGCCAGATCAGAAAAATGTAGGAGCTGTTCTACTTGAGAAGGAGGTAGTGGAAGAAAGAGATATTGTGATTCTACCAGGAAAACTGCAGTCAACACAGACGCCTAGGAGGGCAGAGCTCAGCAGACTACAGATACCTCCTGAGAAAATCAGAAGCAGCTTCTCTCTGCAAGAAAAGCTGATCAGGGTGGCATTGAGAGTTCAGGGGAATAAAGGGATTCGGTGTGTACAGTTAACACTTTCTTTAGTAGACAAAGAAGAATGAGCTGGAGAAGAAAGCAAGTATAATAAAGCTATGGCTGTGCAAGCTCTGACATAGAAGGTGGGCTTGAGAAGGACCTGGGAAAGCAAAATTCACATAGGAGGATCAAGATAACAGTTGAGTTTCATAATCAAGATAACTATATTGCACCCAAGGATTTACTTTTCAATAATTCTTGCTCTGATATGAGTATATGCATTTATTTTAAGCACATATTTCTGTGTGATCAATATATATGTTGCTCTTAATTCAGAATATTTTTATTGGCATCTTTAATGAAAGTAAGTAGAATGAGTTACATTGGTGCATCTCTGAAGTACCCCAACTCTTGAGCCTTTGTTCTCTTAACAATCACCATCTGTCACCTGACAGAAGTCAAGGGGTCATAAAATCAGTCATCAAAGTTGGAAGGGACACAGATGTAATTTCACTGGAATTTCTTTCAATTGAGCCTCTTCGATTCAGCATTTTTGACAGTGTCATTTAGCTTCAAGTTGAACACTTCCACTAAGGCAAAACTCACAGTTCACATGCCTGCTCCATCCTCAGGCAGCTCTAATTGTTAAAAAGTTCTATTTCTTTCCATGTTCCCCCACCTGAAAAGAGGTCTGTCGTGCTCTCTCTCTGATAGCTCTTCAGACACAGAATGATTGTGATCTGCCTCCTTCTCCTGAGCTACGAAACCCCACTGACTTCTGCAATTTCTTACAGACAAGAACTTGCCCCTGTGAGCAAACTTGGTGTGGACACCCATTGTTCTGTCTGCCTAGTTCCCTTCTTTCTTCTGGAATAGCAGGTCCTCTTTTCTGGGAACAGACACCACCCCAGCCCCAACTCCAACTACGTGGCACCAGTGAGGCTTCCCTGAGATGGGCATGTCCTCCACACTAGGCCAGTCACAGTCCTTCTGGAGCTGGAACTGGAAAAAGAGAGCAAGTCACCGTAGCGATGAGAGCCACTGAATGTGACACTTGGCAGTCATGTTCCTTACATGCCGAGGAGGCTAGTCTACAGTCTTCAATTATATGACATACCCTCAGTACTCTTCTGTTAAATTCTGTTTTGCTTACACTAGTTCAAGCTGTATTTCTTTAGCTTGTAACCAAACAACTCTGACACATGTAGATATTTGTCATCCTGCTGTACCTTCACAACTGAACCCAACATTTGTGAGGGGTGGGGGAAAGGAAGGGATTGGGAGAAGGTACTTGGGGCCTGTCAAATCCAGAGAAGAGCAGGCCTATCTCTCCCTGGTTTTGAATATGTGTTCCTAACTGGTAGCTCCTAGTGGGGTTCCCAACATAACATTTCCCTTTCCCAGATCAAGCCAGAAGACCAGCAGCTGCTGAGGGCATTCAGTTACTCACTGGGTCGTTGTACATCTGGACAATAAGCTGTTTTACCCCATGCAGGGTAGGGTGGGCCCATGGAGAGGGATCCAGCCAGTGACGATTCAGGTCAAACCCCATCAGAGAGCACCTAGACAGTACCCAAGGTAAGAGTCAGTATAGATAAGACAAGCCAAGCTTCTCACCAGTCAAAATACAGTCAGAAGTAGGAACAGTAATTATGTCACTCACCCAGCATTTATTGTTTTCCAAAGACATGTATTAATCCATTCAGTACTATCAACAACACTGTGAGGTCACTACTATTATAATGCCCATTTTACAGAAGGAGAAACTGAGTCATAGAGAGGTTCAAAAATATTTCTGTGGAGCAGTCTCACTTCAGTGTTCACAGACACGTGACCATAGACACACGTACATCTTCTACATGGTGCAGAAGAAAGACGTGCTCAGGCCAAAACCACCGGTATCCCCATTATTCCTGTTTCTCTCACATCTACAGATCATCCATTGTCTCTAGTTTTAAAATACATTCAGAACCCAACACCTTTGTATCGCTTCCACTGATATCACCTTGAGCTTGGACCAATGTCCAGAGAGAGTGCTGTAATAATGTCTTACCTGGTCTTCTTGTTTCCATTCTTGCCTCCCCTCCTCCACCTCTGATCCCCCCATTTTCCATAGAATAGCTGGTGTGATCTCTTAAAACACAAGTCAGATCATGTCCCTCCTCTGCTCAGATAGTTCCCTGTTACCCGCAGCCTAAAAGCCCAAGTTCTCACGACAGGCTACGAGCCCCCGTGAGGTCCACCTGCGTCAGCCTCTCTGACCTCGGCTCCTACCCCTACCCCTCTTGCTTCCTCTGTGCCAGATACTGGCCTCCGTACTGTTCCTGCAACACACCAGGGGATTCCTATCTCTGGGACTGTGCACAGACTGTTTCCTCTACCTGAATCTTCTCCCCTAGGTATATGAATGACTCATTCTCTCGCTTATTTCAAATCTGCTCGAATGTCACCTGCTTAGTGATGCCCACCATGACCTTCTCTATACTCTCCTTTGGGCACAATAAATAACCCATTAGGGCAAGAGTAATTGTGACCTCTGGTTCTCCTCCTCTCCCTCTTTGTCCTCTTCTTCCTCAAAATCTGTTCAAGGCCCTGCTAGTACTTGGGAAGGGACACCTCCTCCAGGGCTCTGTCCCCCATGCCTCCACCCCCTGGGCCATCACACACTGTAGGTCCTCTCCAGGACAGCCCAGGCTGCAACACAACTTCCAAAAACACTGTGATTGCTCACAATTCAAATTACCTCTCTCCTCTCCTATTCATCCTCCTCCTATCCCCAGAATGAGTCTCCTTGCAAATCTATCTTGCTTTCATGATCAATTCAGGATTCATCTATAGTTGTCTGCTGCCTATAGAGTAAAATTCTGCTCTTTGCAGATTGTTAGCCAGATTCAAAACCAGTGGTAGCCATATCCCTATCACCGCTTCCTCTCCCCAGACCGTCCTCTTTTTATTCTCTATCCCTCTGTCCTACTATTTTAACTCACCATCTTATCTCCCAAGCTCCTTTCTATTTCCTTAAGCTATGCAATTTAACCCCTTCTCAGCTTACAAAATTTGCATTCACATCTGTCACCCTACTCAGCAAAATTAAGGACTCCACGGGGACCTACCTTGCTTTTGAGGTGGTTGTGGGGGGTATAGGTGGTAAATAATTTCCCCCTACTGTTTAAAATAGTACAGTGGGAACCTTGTGGGAGAATAGCTAACGTTTTGTGTAAACACAGAGAAAAGCCCCATTGAGGAGAAGCCATTTGAGCTGGACCTTGTTGAAGGAATAGAATTTTGCCAGGTGTTGGGGGCAGAAGGAAAGAAAGGAACTGTGAAACCACCCAGGGTTTGGGGAGGTGGACAATTAGGACTGACTGAAACACAGAGTGTGTGGCGGGGGGGTGGTGATGTGAAGCTGTGAAGGGAGATGGGGTGAAATGTGAACAGCCTTGAATGCTTGGCAAGGAGTCTTATTATTTTGTCTTTGCCTTGCTGTATTTAGATCAACCAAGTGTTGCTGTTGGCTTCACACTGACTGTAGAGCGGGAATGGAGATAGCCGTACCTGTAGGTTACAACATCACCATCACAATCAAGGGGACACAATCAACAGAACACTTACTGACATTACTTTGTTCCAAGACCTAAGTACTTTTCTAAGTACTAATACAAGGGTACTTCAAAAAGTTCGTGGAAAGATTAGTGTTATCTTTTAATTCTGCCTGTCCACAACCTTTATGTAGTACCCTCGTGCTTTATCTAAGTCAATCCTGACAACTACCCTGAGGGAGATGCTACTATTCTTCCCATTTGCAGATGTGGGAACAGAAGCACAGAAAGGTTATAAACAGCCTGCTCAAGAAAAGAGGTGATGTGAGAACTGGTGCCTGTATTTGTCTGTTCCTATTGCTTATAATAAAATACACAGAACTGGGTAATTTATACAGAAAACAAAATTTATTGCTTGAAGTTACTGAGGCTGGGAAGTCCAAAGTCCAGGGAACACATCTGTTGAGAGCCTTGGTGGTGGTGACAGTGACAGCAGGGTATCACATTGCAAAAACAGTGGAGGAGAGAGAGAGAGACTAACCTCCTCATTCATTCTACATTTGAAGACCTCCAAACCACACCCATGACCACTATTTTTAATCCATTCACTGTGGCATGCTCCAACAATCCAATCACCTCTTCAAGGCCCCACCTTTCAATTATTACAATACGATTTACCACCCTCAATAGTTACAGTGGGGATTAAGTTTTGGGGGGACATTCAACCCACAGCAATGCCCAAGAAGTCTGACTGCAGACCTGGAGCCTGTAGTCCCTTTACCTCAAGTAATAGCTATCATTTAGTATGCATTTGCTATGTACAGACTAAAGGTTATGGCACCAGGCACCAGGTTAAGACCTTGCCATGGGCTTTGGCCCTTACACACAGCAGTGCACATTCCTTTCGGACTGCTAAGTATCTAGCCCTGTAGTCTGGGCTCTTTCCACTAAAGCAGGTATTAGAGTTAGGATTGAAACTAGGTCATCCGAACTCTTCATCCAGGGCTTGATCCTGGATTCTCAGTTCCTGGGGGGCACTGAGAGAACGACATTGTTTCCTCATCACAATGCTGCTTCTGCCCTACTGAGAACCAGGGAAGAAAAGCATGGAAATTCCCAGGCACGTCTTTTGGCACCACATACAGATTCTCACTTGAGTCCTGCCTAGCCTCTCTCCCTTCCTGGAGCCAGGCTGACCTGACCAATCCATCCCTGGTGAGTGCGGGAGAATGTCCCCCTGGCATACAGAGGAATGATCACTGAGTTCAGGTCCCCTGCTCTGCTGCTGTCTTATTATGTGACCTTGGGCAAGTCCCTTGCTCTCTTGAGTACCAAATTTCCCTAACTACAAATGGAGATGGGGAATTGGACCACAAGGTTTTTAAGAGTCTCTTCCAATGTGGACTGCACTCTCCCTACCCCCCATCCCCAGTGGAGAGGAGCTCACAAAACAATGTCCTCTCTGTTCCGGGATTTCCATGAGAGCAATGATGCCTGGATACCAATCGTTCTCTCTGCTCTAAACAGAAGGGTCACTGGTGCTCACTCTCTGCCCTGGCCAAGCAACTTACTTCCTGACCACAAACTTGTAAATGGGTCCCCTTTTCATCTGCCATTACAATATACACATTTTTCTTTGTAACTACCATTGTAATAGTGCCATGATATGACATATTATCCCATTGTATGAATCTCCCATAATTCGTTTAGCCATTTCCCCACTGTGGCACATTTATGTTGTTTTCAATGCTGAACTGTTTTCAAAATGCACTGTTGAATACTCCAATCTGTACATTTTTTCCACGTTTCAGAATTTTTCCTTAGAACAGTTACCCAGAAGTAGAATTGCTTGGTAAGAGGATTGACTGACTATAAAATCACTTTTTAAAATGAAAAATTAGTCCTCCATATAGAAAGTAGAAAAGAAAAAAAAAAGTAGCATCGCCTTCCTTCTTACCACTACTGTCAGTCTCTTGACTCGATTCCTGCCATCTTTTCTTTCCGAGCATGTAGTGGTAAGCGCAGCAGCAGCTAACATCTAATGAGCGCTTACTACGTGCCCTTACGCGATCACCTCATTTCATCTTCACTTTTATCCCATAAAAGCTCTTTATTACCATTTTACAGATGAGAAGACAAAGCCTTAGAAAATTTAAATAAATTCCTCTAAGGTCACAGAGCTATTATGTGGTGGAGTTAGAATCTGAGCTTGGGTCAATCTGATTCTCAGAGTCTAAAATCTTACCAATTGCTCTCCTTATTCTGTTCTCCTCTGACTACACTAAATTGTCTTTCAAAAAGTAATTATTCAATTCTGTGATTAGTGTCTCAAATTACAGATGGATACAGGTAGTTCTTAAATATTCTTATCTGCAATATTACTAATCTTGAGAGTGATTAAGGACAGACAGAGACCCAACAGACACACTCATCTGAAACCTGCCAGAGCTATTCCGTGAGCATATTGTGGAGCAGGCTTCAAACCCAGGACTGTCCAGCTTTAACACCCACGCTCTCCTATGGAGCAAACAGTTTAAGACAAGCTCTCTGCCTTTGAGAACGTATAAGTAAATTGAGGAGGAGAGACTGGTATAGGGAACAAGGATGAGGCAAGAGTTAAATGCAGCAATTCATCACGGTTTTATTGAGGATCTTCCATATACCAAACTCCATGGTAGTGTTGCTGGGATAGAGGGATTGATAAGAGATGTTGCTGCCCTCAAGAAATAGATAGTCTAAAAGGTGAAAGAAGATATGTGCACAGGTTTACATCCATTTATAATTCAGAGCAATGTATAAGGATTGAATGAGATAATGAGTGTAGCAAACTTAACACAGTTTCTGGTAGATAAAGTAGCTCAAAAATTTTGTGTTGTTTTTATTGTACTTTATTATTATTTTATCCTATGACCTCTATGAGTGACAGACTAATAGGTTTGGAGTCCCTGGGAGGCTGGAGTGAACAGCAGTGGTTAAGGGTGATCTCATATCTTTCTCCAGTCTGGGAATCAGAAAGATCTGAG